GATAAAGGGTCTGGGCGGCAGGGCTGCTAAGCCCATTTTTAGGAGTCAGAGAATGCCTTGGAAGCCAAGGAGAAGACGAGAGGTGGCTCCCTGGCAACCCCCGACCTAGGGCGGCACCCACTGAGCCACTGGCCTGCTGCAGCAGCCAGGGCCTAGACAGGTGCCGCCCTCACCCTCAGGTCTCTCCGTTGCCAGGCCTGCTGCTGTCGGTCCAGCTTGCTGTCACTGTGATTTCTAAAAAGCATCTGGTAATGAGAGGGGCTAAGAACGTCGAGTTGAAAGGTTTCTTTAGCACATGGCAGGGTTTTTCTTCAAAAAACGTTGATGGTCTAGCCCCTCTGCAAAGGGTACTGTGTTTTGGGCTTGGCTTCTTTTATTTGTATCTTTGCCTTTATTATCAGTTTAAAAAAATGGCTCAGTTATAATAGGCCTCAAGACAGGCCAGGACTACAGGATTCTGGAAGCTGTAGCGATCATAGACATTTCTGGTACAGTCGCCTTCTCAAGGGAAGGAGGTGCGATCACTGGAATCAGTTTCCATTAAGGGGCCGGAAGGGAGAGAGACCGCTTCCCCGCCCCTCCCTGGTCAGGGGCCTGCTCGCCACAGCAGGCTGCCCTCTGGCTTACAGCCAGGGCCGTGGCCCACCGTGCGCCTCTCTGCGCCAAGGCACTGGACAGGCCGCGCCCGTGTTCCCAGCTCCGGAGCCCCTCTCAACAGGCAGGACCTCCCCGAACACGGAGCTCCGTGTGTGGCACTGGAGCCTTCTGGCTCTGCGGACCGGGGTGGCTGTGCACAGCCAGGGAGCCCCGAGCTTCCCCCTGGAAAAGGCCTCTTGGGAGCTGAGGTCTGCTCCCCACTGGACCAAGAAATCAGCCTCTTGCCTGAGCCCCAGATACAGGGGAGATGGTGCTAGGTGCAGAGGTTCAGCTCTGAGGTCACCCAGCTCCTCTCAGGTCCTGGCCTGTGGCTTTGGCAAGGTACTCAGACTCTTCAGACTCGAGTGTCCTTATCTTAAAAAAAAAACAAAAAAAACAAAAAAAACAAAAAAACTGGTCAAAAACCATCCGACCTCAATAGACTGTTGATAAGATGAAGAGATTTGAAGCAGTATACAGGTGATACATTTTTTTAAAGTAATGTATGTCTATATCACATTTTTAAAAACATATTTATTTATGGGCCCTCCCTGGTGACATAGTGGGTTAAGGCACAAGAACTGGGGTACAGGCCAGAGGTGCAGGGGCGGTGAGAGGAGTCACCAGAGACAGAGTGGGGAGCAGAAGCCACTGATGAAGTGCACTGCTGAGGAGAGGTCTGCCACGCCATGTGGTCACCTCCGGGGCAGGCTGGGATCGAACTCATGCAGAAGAGGCATTAGCGTCTTAGTGCAGTGCTCTAACCCGCTGCGCCACCAGGGAGGGTCCCAATATCACAGTTTTATTTGCATCATACTTAGTAGTTCAGCGACAGGCACTAGAGTTTAATGAAACATACCTATTACTTGGCTGAGGAAACCTGCGCCATCTGAGGAGAAGTCTACCAGGTGGTAGCTCAGAAATGAGGCACTGGTTTTCCCTCTTGCCTTCCAGGGCCACCCCAGCCAGGTCCCCTCCCTCCCTGGCACCCCGCCTCCCTCCCGGGAAGCTGCCGCTGGGAGGAGTCCCTCTTGGGACCCCTTTTCCCACACAGCGTCCTCTTGGGCTCAGCGCAGGGTCCCAGTTCCGGGGGTGCGCGCTGTCCTAGGAGATAGCAGGGGAGGGGGCGCCAGTCCCAGCCCTGGGGGTGCAGGACCCTGCCCCAGGGCGCACGCAGCAGCAGGCCTCCGCAAAAGCGCTCAGGGGCCTCTGCACCCGCTGGGGCCCGCAAGGAGGTGGGAGCCCGGCCCCAACCGCAGCCGAGCCCCTTGTCTCCTCGCCCCAACTGCCACCCCGACCTGTTAGTTTTGCTTCCTAAGCGCCCTGTTGGGGACCCGTCGACCTCAGGGTTGCAGAAGGGCCAAAGGTCTGCAAGGCTTACGTGCTCGAGGCGCACGCCGGCCTGGATCGAACGGAAGCCAAAGCCGGGGCGAGCGGACCTCAAAGCAGGGCCCCTCACGCCACCCCCAAAGAGCGAGCAGGCGGGGCCCTGGCGGGCGGGCGGCAGGCGCGGAGGTGTCTGCTAGTGGCTGCGAGGGAGAGCGTCCGTTCGACACAGGAAGGAGGGGAAGGAGGCCACGGAGGCCGGAGGTGCCTTCATAACGCGCAGCAGCCCTGACAGATCTGATAAAGAGGAAGGAAGCCCACGACGGGGCTGAACAGAACTGACAACTCCCCAAACTGACGAGGGCCTGCAGCTGTCAACACCGTGTTTGCCGTTCGCGCGTGCGGCGGGGGCTGGCGCCCCCTGGTGGCCGTGTTAGAACGGCGCCGTCTGGTGCGCGGCGTTAGGGACCCGCTGCTCCGCCAGCGCAGGGGGCAGGCTCCCCGGCAGGCTCCCGGGCGGGCTCCCCGGCAGGCTCCCCGGCTGGCGCGCGCTCGCGGTCGGAAGGGGCGGGGGGATGCCGGGCTTGTCTGACCTGGGCGCTCTACCTTCTGCTGGTTTCGGGAGACCAGCCCCGGAAACAAGCACAGGTGTTCTGCTTAGCTGGCAACGAGTTGCCCTGCTGGCCGGGGGTGGAGGAGCCAAAGCCATGCCAATGAGCAAATCCCGAGCCCCGGTAGATTGCAGCGCGAGATCTCATGTTCCCAAATCCCTTGGACTCCACTCATGGCTTTGTCGTTTATTAGCTGTGTGACCTCCAGCAGGTTTCTAATTGCCTTGCCTCAATTTCATTCCATAATATGGAAATCATAGGCTAAGGTAAAATACATAAAAAGCGTTTAGGGTATTTCCTGGCATAAAAAATAGGTTCTTTAAAATGTCACTGTAGCTTTGTTTGTTGCTGTTAACTGGTTCCTTAATCAGGGGATTTTGCCATTTTGCAATCATTAATTTCAAGTCTAATTCTGTTGTAGTCAGAGAATATACCTGTTTTTAGTCCTTCAAAACCTGTCGAAGTTTGCGGAATGGGCAGAACTTCTGCTCTGCTGGAAGTGCCCAGTGCACTAGAAAAGAAGGCGCATTCTGCCACGTGGGGCAGTTTTCCAACATCAGACAGGTCAAACTGGTAGTTACTCAAGTCCGCTGCCGCCCTCTCCCCTCCCCCAGGTGGTGTGTGTACTTCTTGTTCTATCAGTTATACTGGGAGCTTTATTTGGAACTTTCCAATTTGGCATTTGTTGGTGTCTCCTGGTTTAACCTTTGTTAGAAGGAGACATTACTAGACGCTTCTTCCTAGTAAATCCTTCACCATAAAAGGAATGACAAGTATCCTGTCCTATAAAGTATGCCTCGTGGTTCTTGCTTCAAAGCTATTTTGTGTGGCTTACTTTGTGTGGACTATCGCATCCTTCCAACTTTTCTGTTGTTATAGTCTCTAGTAGATGGTACACGCTGGCCTCTGACACCTTTATCCAGTTCGACAGACTTCCCAGCAGTTTAGCATCCGGACATTCATTCAGTAGCTAAACTTCTCCAGCCACCTGCTCTCGCCTTTGTTCCTCCTGTCCTTTCTTTAGGAGTCACTCAATTTTTAAAAAATTCTATTTTCCCCTTGAATAAGTACTTTAAGTTACCCGGCATTTTACCACTTGCCAAAGAATGTTAATTCCAATTACGGTCCTTCCAACATTTCCCCCCTTGTTATATATTCCGTATTACTTCTTCCAAATGTGTAATCAGGGTCTCCTTGGTGGCTCCGGGGGTTAAGTCACAGCACTATGAAGCTGCCCACAGCCACTGCAGCAGTTCAATCCCCGGCCAGGGAGGTGGCCCACATGGTGCAGCAGACCCCTCCCGTCTCACCCGCTGCTCCCCTCAGCAGTGTGTTTCAGTCGGTCTGATTGTCCTGCTCCCCACGCTGTCTCTGGGGAATCCTCTCACGCCCCTGCCCCCACAACTCTGGCCTACACCCCAGCTCTTGTGTGCATAAATAAACCTTCCAAAAAATCAAACAGTATGCTGTGAGCTTTGAGACCTCGTTGTGTATTGTATCTTCACCTTTGCCTTTATTGCTTCCCCCCACTCCCCTTGCTCTTTATTCCTCCTACTGGTTGTTTCCTTCCTGAAGTAATTTTGTTGGGCTGCAGACCTTCCCTCCCTTGAGCTTTTTATGGAAGCACGGGTATCTGCTGGTGCCAACCTCTCTCAGCTTTTGTCTGAAAATGTTTTTATTTTGCCTACTTTGAGACTATTGGAACTCTAGGTTGCCAGAATTTTCCCAGCACTCGAGTTCCCTGTCTTCTTGGCTTCCAAAGTTTTGGCTGAAAAGTCAGTCATTTTTACTGCTGCTGCTTCAAAGATTATGGTGTCGTTTCTGACTATCCTTAGGTTTTTCTCTTTGATTTTCTGCAGTTATCAGCTTGTCTACTAATTCTTAGTGTGGTTAACATTACATTGTGGTTATATGGATTTTTGTTTCTCAATCTTGTATTTAATACAGCTAAATTTTTATTTCTAAAAGCAGGGTATGGGGGAGTGGAGAGAGCGAGGATTAAATGTCTATGTATCTGCAAAGAAGCGTTCTTTGGTCACTCTTATTTTCTTACTGGTTTGACTACTTTGTGAGGATGCCTGGCGACGAAGCGCCTATGGATACAGCTGTGCTATGTCACAATTCCGCCTTACTCTGGCTTTAACGAGAGTATTTCTATTTCATTTTATGTATGAAATGTGCTGCAGGTTCTTGGTGATAAATTTACCAGTTTTTAAAAAAGGTCTTAATAAATCCCTCTTTCTATTTTACTTAAGAATGAGCATCATGAATGTTTTCAAATTATTTTATGCACCGTAAGATACGGTTTTTCTTCTTTATTAAATATGCTGAATCACCCAATCAAAAGACAAAAAGTAGCCTCAAAACAATTTAACCCTAAATAGTTATTTACTTTTATAAAGGAGGAAAAAGAAACTCTTATGATAGTGAAAATATACTTTATTTTTTAATACAATAGCTGCCAGCAATATACTGGTTCCAGAGAGAGAAAAGAAAATACAAGCAGTTTGTAATAAGCTTTCATTTGCCTTTTCAAGTAATTCAAAAGAAAATATTCCAATTTTATTCAACTTTGTGACTTGAGGAGTTGAAATTATGTTATACAATTTTGATTGCTCCCAACCTTAATGACCTGTAAAGAATGTAGTTTTTTTTAAGCCTGTATAGTGTATCAATGATGAATGCTTCCCTCTCTTTGAATCAAATACTAATTATGACCAGTGTAAGAAATTGGTTAATCAAACTTGATGAAATGTGTATCAAAATGTCATGAAAAAATACATTTCCCCTACTTCTTATCTTTACCTTGTAGATATTCTAAATGGATATATTTTAATGCACAGAGTAAAGGCTATCTACATGCAACTCTGGAGAGATCAAAAACTCAACAGAGGTAAATTAAAATGTCTAAGCTCTAGAGTTGATCAACTTAGTGTGAGAATAAATGTCAGAAGTCTCTCAGCTGTATACAGGTTGCTCAAGGACTTAAGATAATTAAGTAAGCCAAAGTTACCAAGAAATAAAATCATGAATAAATTGTGTCACAAATGTCAGCAATCCTAATAAATGAAAACAAAACTATACAGAAAAATCTGCATCTACATTTAAAATTGGGAAGTTATGTCAACTGAAATAGTAGAGAGCTTTCCAACTGTTCAATACAAAAATTTCTCAAAATCCCTAAGGCAAACAGTGAGAACTTCCATTTAGACTCCAGTTTCCTTGTTGAAGAGGAACGGAGGGATCTTAGATGAAAGGGAAATGACTCAGTGGCTGTAAAAATAATGGCAGATGATTTCTCCTACATCAGCCACAACAAAGTGCAAAAGATGGACTGCCATGAAAACCTTGTGTCTCAAAGCTTTGTGTTTCAAGCTATGATGTTTCCATACATGTAAGATGGAATAAAAAGTACTTTCTAGAATCATCCTTTTTGCTAGCTTCTGTCCACTTGCCAATCCCAATTTTGTTTGACTTCCCTGATAAAGTAATAAGATCATCTTTCTACAGAGAAAAAGAATTCTGCCTTCATCAAAATCATACAGGCCTGCCTTTCGACACTCAGAAGGATGGCCATGAATAACCAGGGGATAAAGTTTTAAAGTAACGGATAGGAGAAAGATCCAAAGTGAAAATACTTCGCACCTTAAGAACGTGTTTCTCCTCGCCGCTTTGTGGCTGGTAACCCTGTGCTTGGTACCCAAGGCCCGGCATGAGAAGGCACCACCCTCACAGGAATCTTTTTGACTTTCAGCACGGAGGCAAAGTTCAAATGCTGCATTGCCACTGTTTAAGACAGTGGGTGAGGGCGACGGGGACTGCCTGCCTGTTGCTGTCAATGTGTGTTCACCCACCCAAGCTTCCACTCTAGAATTTCTGAAGAAATAACCTGATAGTACTTTTCCCTGAAACCAGGCAAATCATCCACTGTTTAATCACAAAGAAGTGAGTGCCCAAACTTTTGATCAGCAACAGGGAGTTATGAAAGGTCTGACATGGAAATCTCTCCAAGCTAAATGGATCCAATCTGGAGCTTTCTTTACCCTTCTACAACAAGCTGATCACTGCCAGGCTAAAAGATGTGATATGCTTATCATAAACCAGGCTGCTTCCCTACAACAGTGCTTACTGAATGTTAGCATATCAGAAGCAGAAGGCATTGTCATTTTAACACACTATACTTAAAATGTCCAAAAGCAGCCCATGAGATTTAGCACTTCTTAAAACAAGTTAGGTATAAAAATTTACCAGAAACATGTTATAGTTGCAACCAGTCTTTGGAGTAGTATTTAGAAAGTCCATTTAAAAACAAAATGAATAAATACATAGCAAGCTTCTATTTTATTTTCACCTAGTTCATCCTCTCTTGTTAGAGCACAAATAACTCATGGTTTATAACTTAAATTTAAGAACAAGTGAACACACCGAGTGCTATTCCTTAATGTGGCTATAGGAAAATTTGAGTGAAGTGCAATGACTAAAATTAGGCAAGACTAACTTTCTGCTGACTGTCACAAATACAATTAGTCCAAAAGACTGAGCCATCTGCTCTACCCTCAGTCTACCAGCAACTGGGACCAGAATGGGGTGGCTGGTAGTCAGTGTGTTTGGTTTCTAATACAGGGTGGGCAGTGACCCTTCTAGATTATCCACATTCAAAAAGCTTTAGAAACAAAAATCTACTTGATGTCTTGACAAACTCACCCTACATGCCTACATTTCCGTACGTGTTCATTTCCATATGACTCCTCATTATATTACTATAGCTAAATCAAATAAACATCAGTCTATGAAGTGTTGCTCAAAAGATCTATGAATGACATTTACCTTAAATGTCGTCTTTCCCCTGGAAAGGAGAAAGCAATAGTATCCCAAATGGCACTGGGCAAGCTGCACTAACAGCACGCTGAGACAGAGTGTATCAGCTGGCTTCTTACTGATAGACAAGAAAGGTCTTGCGAATTTCAACCCTCCCTCTAAACTTTCAGCTTCTACAGTGTCAGATGTTGTCACTGGTATCACGGAGAAATGCTTGTAGGCAAAAAGTTAAAAATCCATGTACAAAGCAAAATAGCAAAACCTGCAGTGACGGTTCTGCAGAAGGCTCTCTTCTCTGGTGGTGACATCCTTCAGTTCACATCCAGGATAGACTAAGTTGAGACGTGAGATTTTGATACAGTAGAGATCCTTTCACATACTCTTAGTATATTATAAACTTCTCCAAATACATAAATATTCCTTGTACCATGCATTAGGCACCAGTTTGCGGGTGACTGACGAGGTCATGGCTACTATCTTAACAATTAACAGTTAACCATTGCACCTCAAAAGTTCTGCCATCTGTGTGCAGTGATGGGCACAGTGGTGAGGGCTCCAGAGAGATGACGACCATCTTTAACGTGAAGTTTATAAGGGAGTGTCTCCAAATTAGAGGAGGTGGATACAGGGCAGGGGAGGTAGGCAGGGTAACAGAACTTCAAAATAATACTGCTTGGAGTGTATATTTAAAGATAGCTATAGGCCTTGTCTATCCTTGACCCTAATCTCCAGTAACTGCATGTTCATGCAAAGTAAAACTTCTACTTTATAGGAAGTCTGCTAGGAAAAGTCTGCTAGGAAAGCATATTCTTAGTCGGGGAAGATGAAAGACACCTCTCTTGTAAGCACTGCTCTACTTGGTAAGTCTTTTGGCGACATCACTATATGCTATTTCAACCTCCTTATCACTGGGACAGGTGTTGGTGAACTCATCCCGACTATAAGCGTTAGTTAGGTATCTCCAGATGCCAGTCATTCCTTTTGGAATGTCAAAGTTGCGATATTTCTTAGCCACCACCTGAAATACAGAGAGATCAAAAGTTAAGATTTACTGTCTCCTTCTAATAAACCTGAAACACATCTCTGACTTGAGGGTAAATGATTAATTTTGTGACTCTTGGAGAAACTGCCTCTATTTGAAAAGAATTTACTGTCCTTCCTACTAGACGTTTAAGCAACAACAAGTCCTGTAAGCGACACCGGAGGTTACAAAGTGTGACAGCGACTCCCGCTGTCAGCTGCGGCCAACCAGGAAGACCATCGAGCGTGATCACCACTTACATGGACACATTCTTTTAGATGCGTTTTCCTGATCTTGAGCTTTCCTGTACAGCTGGTGTCTACTACTAGTCTCTTTAGTACATTGTCTCAAACAGTCAATGCTCAGTGAATACTTTATATTGGACAGAAAAGACCAGGTGATCACAGAACAAAATCTGAGGACGTAAGTCAGCATAGCAAACACCATTTCTAAGTTACTTACTTCATCTTTGAATTTTTGTGCAGTCATCCAAAAAGAAATTCCTTTTTCATATGCCTGAATTTTTAAGACATTCAAATTTTCACTCAACGCTAGGGTGCTTAAACTGCTGCCTAAGCATCATTAAGTCACACTGTTGGGGTGGGGTGGGGTGCAGGTTCTACACATGAAGGAAGTGCTCTCCCGGTAGAGTCTTAGCCTAGTGGCAGCAGGCGCCACAGGCCACCGCAGCCTCGGCCCGCACCGCCCCACAGGCCACCACAGCCTCGGCCCGCGCCGCCCTTGGGGCCCACGCCACCCTCGGGCCCACCTTGACGATGTGCAGTTTGGGCAGCAGGTTGCAGTCAGCTAATGTCATTTCGTTGCCATCCAGAAATTTACGTGTAGAACACTTTATGTCCTCCATGCTATTCTCATCAATTTCATCAGGAAGGGGAGAATTCAGATATTCGTCCAGTTTCTGGAGTGTTTTCAAGAGACCCTTCTCCAATGCTGAAAGAAAGATGGAACAACTATACAAAGGAAAGCAACCCAGGGCCAAAGGCAGAAGCGTTTCTCTGCGGTCAGTAACTGCTTTCCAAAGTGCTAGAAACCACACTAAGAACCACAGGACGGACAGAGAAGGCTCCTACTCTCCTGGAGCTTATTTACACAGGGCTAAAGGTGAGACACACAAATTGATAGGTTCAGATAAATATAAAAACAAGTACGATTTTTTTTTTTAGATAGTGTCATCTGTAAAAATGGGCTATTAACAATAGGCCCCACAGACAAACACCCTGTGGCCCGACAGTCAATGCTTAAACAGAGAAGCTGGTGAAAAAGGCAAGCCCCCTTTCCAGTCTAAAAAAGGAAATACTGTAGATGAAGAGATTCTTGCCTCGGCGTTCAGCTGTGCTCCCCAGAAACTGCTGCACCTGGCCAGAACGCTGCTCTCCAGCCAGGTAGGAAGGTCAGGATGCAGGGTCTCCCGCTGCCCCTCAGCAGTGTGTTGCAGCAGTTCTGCTTGTGCTGCTCCCCACTCTGTTCTGGTGAATCTTCTCACTGCCCCCCCAACCCCACACCTCTGGCCTGTACCTCAGTTCTTGAAGCCATAAATATTTTTTTAAAGGATGAAAGGTATAGATAAAAGCAAAGGATGATTAGTGAGTTTGATATAATTCTTATATCAACATCGGCAGCCGCCAATAAAATAGCCTACCATGAGATAACCAAAGAGCGTCACTGAATAAGCATAATCAACTTTTGAAGACAAACTGTCACAAAGAAATTTGAACACAAAGAAAATGTCACGATCAACCACTAGGTGGTAGTATCAGGATACAAGAAAGGAGCACCCTATTTTCTAATATCTCTGCCATAGGTATGTTGGTATCTAAAAAGTTATTTCAAAAGCTCCTCACACTCCCCTCCAAAATAAAGAAATAAAAGCCTATTAGTGTAAAGAGGCTCTTTTATTGGCCTATGGAAATAAAGAACAATTAAAGAGCTTCCCCCCCCCCCCCCGAAGTATGGGGAAACAAACTTTCATATTGTTTGGAACATAAACTGAAGTAAACTTCTGTTAAAAAAATTCAGCAAGACAGACCAAAATTTAAAATGCACAACCATTTGGCCCACTTGAAATCTAACATAAGAACATTCATTGGCAGAGACTTGTCTCAATAAAAAGAAACCTTGAGACAATCTAGATTATCAACAAGAAAATAAAAGTCCATATTTTTATGGATTATGTAACAGTAAGCAGGTAGAAGTATATTTTGATATGAAAAGATTTTTACGATACAATGTATGAAAAAGACAGTGACCGTATTTATGTACACATAAATACACACATATAATATCCGCAAAATTGCATTTGAAAACAAGGGTCCATATGATGAGGGAAGGGGTGATGTGATATGGCTGAGGAGGGGCAGCATTTCACTAATACATCTCATTAAAGCGAAATTTTCAGTAAGTGTACAATATTCTGTTATATAGTTTGAATAACTAAATGCAAGGCAGAAAGAATGTTACAATACAGTATCATAGAAAATAATTAACAATGAAGAAAACAAAATCATGAGTACTGACTTGGATTAAGATATATTTTTTAATGCTACTACTGCTTGTTCTAATAAAGGGGACCCTCACACAACCAATTTTAAAGGCCAGGTGATCAGTGGGAAATGGCAGAGGCAATAGTGTTTATAAGTGATCAAATACACAATACCACATCACAGCTACATGATAAACCATCCTCTAATTCCAAATTGGAGCTTGGGAGTGGGAGAGAAGGAAACAGGAGTACAGAGGATATAAATCTTAAACAATAAGGAAATAATCAGAAAATACATTGTCTCCATTTAAAAATAATAATTAGGAAAGACTTTATGAAATATGCCTCAGAGCAGATAATGGTAGATTTCATCACAGCTAAATTCAGTGACCTTTTAAAAATATAAATACCAACAGACTAGTAATTATATACTAGATACTCTTGGGAATTTAAATTATATAAATTGATGAACTATAGAACTGAAAAAAGATGAGTAAAATGGGACAGATCATACCTAACACACCTAACCCAGCCCTACATAAGGTAGTAACCACTGATTTTTCTTTTTCTTTTTATGCTTCATGGTCGTATCAACTCTTATTCCCAGTCAACCTGGATATGTAAGCAAAATATTACACATTCTATCCATTGTCAGTGTTTCCCTTTCTTGTATTCGTGACGTCCCATTTTGCGCACAACCTGAGCAAGCACTGGCCCTTCCATTTCACCTTCCCAAGCCCTCCACTGCCATGTGCAAGTTTAATCCTGTACTTCGAATTAGGTCTTAAAGCTGCCCGAAAACATTGGATTGTGTAAAAATATTTAACAAATCAGTGAGACTAATCAAAGCATTGACTTTTCTGATTTACCATGCAAAATGCCAAATCCATCTCTAGTAAATTATTTATTGTCTGGGACAAGGAAGTGGATCACTGACCCCTTAGGCTTACTTAAGGCATTTAATCACACTAAAATGACAGATAAGAGACCTACAGCAAACATATTTAATTAAGGAAGCCCCACAGTAATTGGAACAGTTGTCTAAAGTCTGGTACAATGACCACAAGCCTTCTCCCCAACTTCACACAGCAGGGGAAGTTGCTTGGCAACTGGAATTCTTACTTACCAATAGGTAGTTTAATAAAAAGTCCTCTAAAACTTGCACTATGTAAGCCACTGTGTTTGTTCCCACTGGTTACAGCATTCTAAGGACAATTACATGTAGGTGGCTACTTAAGACAGCAACAAATTGATAGGTAAAAATAGAATGCAAAGTTATACTTAAATGACTCACTTTTTTTGCCCAATTCTCTCCCCCTACTTCATCCCCCTACACAACTGGTTTTTCAAAGCAAAGACATTTTACCACCCTTTCCTCCCCATCAAGTGGCAAAAGAAATTCACCCCTCTGCCAGTTTGTAAAAGCTGCATGGAGAAATCAAGCGTGACTTTCTAACTAAGGGAGCTTAAAGAACAGGGCAGCGAGGCTAAGAGGCTAGAACAGCCACCGCATGAAGGAATGGCAGAACAGAAAGGAAACTGCCTGTGGCCAGAAGACGCCGTGCAGCTGTTTACTTGGAGTGCAAAATATTGGCAACAGGAACATTTGTCAGAAAAAAAAATGCCAATTACTAAGGAAAATAGCCCCCCAGCCCAGGCAGGTAGAGGAACACATATAATACATGTAAGTGGGGCCTGGGCACTAAGGTTTTTCCCTTCACTGTAGAAAAAAATCTTATACTGTGAATTCTATTCCCCAAACCATTGCAACTGAGTAAATTATAAAATGCTGCAATTAAAAAATGTAATAGTCAAAAATTAATAGCTCCAACACCTTGGAAAACTGCCCGCCAAAATAACATAAGGACACTAGCAAATGTTTAGATTTGTTTAAAAGATGTTTCCTCTCACTTCACCTGCACTCATATTTTTCCCCTTTGGTATTCTTGTTCATTTTCTGCCATGAATTTCTATCCCAAAACAAAGAATTCCCCACTCAAGCTACCAAACTATCTAGCCTGTGATGAGCTAAAATTTCTCTAGAGCTGGTAACTGTGTAATTTCTGATTAAACACTAATCCTCTCTATAGACAGCTTCCCCCAGAGAACAGGGCAAAAGGGAATTCCTTAAATGGGGGCGCTTAGGCAAGGCTCGTTCAGTGGGACCTCTCTCTAAGAGGCTTCTCTTCAGTGCACATGAGTCTAATAAATAATAGTGTTCCTGAAAAAATAAGAACTGCCCTATTCTACCTAAAAACAATGTTAACCACAAAAATGTGACTTGAAACTCAAGTCCTAGTTTTAGGATGTAGAGAAATCAGTTGCAAAACTTGTGTTTTAAGGATTATCAGTTCCAAATCCACTCAGGCTGATTTTAGGCTGCTAGCACTCAACAAATGAAAAAAGTACACTAATATTAAGTTAAGCTCTATCAACCTTTTCCCACCACAACCACACAATCCAATGTTCCACAGCTCCCTTCATAGTAACTTCTCAGAAGAACATGAGAAACAATACAATATACATGCTATCATAGGCATGTGCTAGGTATTGTCCCACCAGACTGAAACATAGGAAAAGAGCAAAAGAGATTTATCATCACATATCTGACCAATTCTGAAAGCCAGAAGTCAATACTTATAGGAATAACTGGTCTCCAAAGTAGTCATTTAAAATCACTGTCATGATAGGGTTTAGGGGTTATGAGTTGGGAAGGTTTTATCTATTGGGTGGAAGGGAGTTGCATTGGTAATTCAATTATTTGTGTTTTACCTTGATTAGCCTCTGGTCTAGAATTCTTGATATAGGCAGAGAATTTGGCAAAGATGTCCATTCCAGCAGTATTTGACTCTGGGTGTTTGGGTGAAAGCTTTAAGTACCTAAATAGAAAGAGTGAAAATGGATTATAGATCCCCCCAAGATACACTAACAACTTCTCTCAATCAAGAAACCATTACTAAGCATCATTTAACAGTTATTAGTCTAAGAAATGCCATCAGGGCCCCCTCCCCGATGGCGCAGTGGGTTACAGCACAGCACTAACAAGCTAAAAGCCACTTCAGCATGAGTTCAATTCCCAGATTGGGAGCTGACCCACATGGAGCAGCAGACCTCTCCTGTCTCACCCGCTGCTCCCCTCAGCGGTGTACTTCACTCAACCTGCCTGTTCTGCTCCCCACAGTCTCTGGTGAATTCTCTCATCCCCCGTACCTCTGGCCTGTACCCCAGTTCTTGTATACATAAAAAATAAATCTAGAAAAAAAGAAAGAAATGCCATCACCTGTTCTCCATGATATTTTCAAGATGTGTTTTTTCCTTAGGAAGCAAGCTCTGCACAATGTTTTTGTTCACATACTGATATTCTTGGCACCCAAAGGGCATCCACACTCCACCCCCATTTTATAAGTTGGAGTGCTAGGGAAACACTCTACGTGTTCAGAGACCTGTGCCAAGTCAATGGGCGTCTGGGCAACACGGAAGAGAACTCTAGAGCAGCACTGGTCAAGAGAATTTTCTCTGACAGAAAAATACTCTATGTAATTTGTCCAAGATGGTCACCATTAGTGACATTTGGCTATTTGAGTATTAATTTAATCACAAAGTCAAACATTTACTTCCTTGGGTGCTCTAGCCACACTTCAACTATAACACTTTCTCGAACAGCAGTGCCAAGTTTGGCATGTGGGCACTGTGCCAGTCCTGTGCAGCAGTTCCAGAGAAGCTGGTCAGGCATCCTGATCATCCACAGGAGGTGAAGGACAAAAACAGGAGGCAGATCACTCCTCTAAGGCTACACTCAGAATTGTCCACACACTCCCATACATTAGCCTGTAAAGGTAGCAGAGCAACAGCAAATGTGTCAGGAATTCTGCTGACTGCTCTCTTATGGTGTTAAAGTTTTTCTACTTTGAAAACAGACATTCAAGAAACAGTTTTTAAAAAACATAGAAATGGGTGTCTTACACATTTAAATTGCAAACACACATGGTATGTGTATATTTCTTCAAAATTAAAAGTTCCTGTTAAAAAGTTCAACTCCTCGCTTCCCTTCAGGAGGCCCAGCATCAGTTGCAGGGGGGCATCAATTTAGGCATGATTCACCAGCTTAAATGTCCTGCAAAAATGTCACTGGAAATTGGACTTGGAGGATAAGACTTTAATAGAAATCTCACACTGAACTAGTTATTTAGGTTTATTCAAGATGCTGTGTTACAGTTTCAATCAACAATGAAAGTAAGGCGTTTTAGAAAGAATTTAGTTGAGTTGCAAGTGCAAATTGTATTTCAGTTCAGTTTTTATATTCCTATTTTTCATGCTAATTATTTTGAATTCTCCTAAAATTTGAACTTAAGGAGAATATAAAGTATCTATGGAACACCTCTATGTTCAGTTACCTAATGCTTCCCATTCTTAAGTTTCTCTTATAAAACAAATTTATGTAACAATGTTTCAAAGTATAATTACAGTAAATAAATTTCACTGGATTTTTTACATAAGCAACATATAAGTAAATATTTTTCCCTAACTATAGAAAACACAATCTCTCTTCCATCATCCCTGCGCCTACCTCCTCTGCCACACCCACCTTTCCCCACACCCCCCCCCACCTGGGCTGAAAGAGTTAATCCCAGGTTTAACATTCCAGGACTTCTCTTGACTATAAAAACAACGGAACTTCAGTTTAAATGTTTTCACAGCTTGTAATACAGTGCCTTCATTGACTCATTCCAAATAAAAATAGTGCAATGAACATAAGTACCTCTTCAATACATCTACACCTACCTCTAGCCAAGTTTCCAAAAGTCTACTTTTATCCACCAATATTTAGCTGTACCTGCTTTTGCTAGTGAAAGACAGAACTGAATTAAAAATTATCTAATGCCCATTCCTCACCTATACATTCATTTATTCTAATTATTAAGTTATCTACTGTGTGAGATGTTATCCTAAGGGTCTAGTAATGACCACATGGAAGCAAACTTACTAAACATCTATCATTTAATGAGCAAGACTTACAGTGAGCATATACTTATTCATACAGAATCGATACTATTACAATTCTTTAAAAACACAGTTCTCTAAAGCAAGCTAAACTATTCTTTCCTATTCTTCTCCTCTAGGACAAACCATTAAATTTATGCTATTACTTTAATGCACACAAAGCATAGCTGCAAGAAACACTTCACGTCAATTTTTCATTTTAGCTAAAGGGAAATTATCTTCCAAAAAGCTTACATACTTGAGTAGGCTAGTTAAAAGTATTAACTAAAACTCAGATTTCCTGCCCCAACCACAGTGTTGTTTCTGCTTTTGTTTCACTGCAGATCAGATCCTAACAGATAAATAAAATACTAACCAGCAGGCCCAAGATCAGTAGCCAGTTGTTTCTGTACTCCCAAACACCTGATTTTAATGATCACCCATTATTATGTGTAACAACTTTCCATCATTTTGAGTATTCGTTTTAATGTTTAACAACAGGAAGCCAGATAACTAATTAAAGGTCGTGTGCCAGCAACAGAATGGATGTGAGCGCCAACTGCTCACAAGTCTCCGAGATCAGCCTTTTCCACATTACAGTGAAGACTACTAATGGTAAGGGTATTTCTATCCCTTTAGTAGGACCTCAGACTTTTTCTCCTTTCTCATGTAATGTAAGAATAAAGACTGGTTATACTGCCCATTAAATTATCCTTGTAAATTCTGTTTTCATTATCTGTAGTTCTCATTTAAAAAAAGGGGGGGGGCTTATTAATGATTTATAGAGTTCTCCTCCAAAATTATCTAGCTTCTTTCTAACAGTAAGTTAGCCAAATAAACAAGTCCGCTTTAGTTAGATATCCAAGTTTCAGAATGTTTTGAAAGCTTTTTTTCCCCCAGCAAAGTAGTTCCTTCAGTAAAGCAAGGGAAACTAAAAATAAATATTTTCCTCAAAGAAGAGAAAGTTTCTTTGAAACTTAGTTATACAGACCAGCAAAAGCCCCTTCATTCAAGTGTTTCATTAGTTTTAAATTCTAAACAACTGTAGATGGTTGACCATCTATGTAAGTCATGAAATTACTTAAAGGTGCTCTGTTTTCAGTTGTCAAACGACAAAACCATGTTGTCAGAAATGCTAGAGTCTAGCCTACCAGCTTGTGTGCCTCTCTGCTCTCTCCTAATGCAAGCTGGAAAACAGAAGGCTAACAAATCAGAGTGTGAGGAGCCACAGATTAGGACCTAACGACCTCCCTGTCCTAGAGGGGCAAGGGTCGGGATCCAGGTGGTCCTTGAATGCCTCAAGAAGAATAAGGGAAAGGGGGTACATGCAATGACCCTAGAAACACTTCCTCCTCTTCCCACCATCCTTTAGAAACAATCCTGTATGTCAGAGGTTATGCTGGTTGGTCAGCATTTCACACTATGGATTCTAGAGTCCAATAAAGGGAGAGCACCCCCAGTCTAAACATAATAATCCAAGGTATATAAATAAAAAGCCATCAGAAAGAAGTTACACTTCATCTACTTTTTAAAGAGGATTCATTTAAATTAGGTTTGACAGCACTTTCAGTCCCACTTGCTCCTCAGTCAAGGAAACTATCTTTAATTTCTTTCCTACCTCTCCTCTTGAGCTAGTCTTCAATTTTATACTCACTAAAGCACCATCCCAATTAAAGACATATTACCTCTTTTATAAAACCCAAACTCAACAAGATGAGAAACAGAACAGATGAAACATATGTTTTTGAAGTCATGCAGACTCAGCTTGGAAAAGTTCAGTGTACCAGCTCTGCCACCAGTAACCGAATTCTGGAACAAATTATTTGGATTACTCATCTTCAACTTCTTCATAAGGCCTTTGAGAGGATTAATTGAGATAATCCACAAAGTAATCCACAATGACAGTGCATGACACATAATTAGCACTGGAATGTTAGTTAATAGCAAGAGGCATTAGCAACATCAAAAATACCCCCTTCTACATAACTGAAATTTTGAGACTTTATTTAGAAGCTCTGTTCCAAATATAAACTACAACATAAACACAAGGATAATGCCCCTACAGAGAAATGAACACATTGAAACCCTTTCTAACAGAAAGATTACTAGATTTTAAGTTACTAAAACTGAAAGAGACACCCATCTCTGATTAGAATATTTCTATGAATACCCACACCAAGTAGTTATGAAATTTCATATAAAAACCAAAGTGAAAATTTTCTTATCAATGTCCAGTTCAGAAAGATAGGATGTTTTTCAGAACACTGCATGCCAAGAAACGAAATTATTTCGATGCTAGTTCTACTCTTTCCTTGCTGTCTTGTCTCTGGGGGAAGAAAATGAAGTTATAAAAATCTCTTCTTGATGTGGTTGTTAATCTTGCTACTGTTGCTGAAGAACAGAAGAGAGTATGGGAAAACAGTTGACTGACTAATTTGACTATTCTCAACACACTGATTTCAAAAATTTAAATATTCTTGGAAGCATTTATATAATGCTTTAAAACAAAATACAGTCTCCTTTACAAAGAATGAATATGTGGTTTAAACTGTGATCTAATGTTGACAGAATGAACTACAGCAGCATGGGAGAACATCGCTTTCATCAGTGTTTGAGGACAAGGTGGTAAATACAAAACTTTCTTTGGGGTTGACAGACTTCTAAAAATAAAAAGGAAAAATCTAGTAGATTCTATTATGTTCATAATAGTTCCTTACTGATATGTTAAAGCTTCAATTTATATTTTACAAAGATCCCAGTGTTGATTTATTATATTCTATTTACATACATGTATATGTCCTGGAAGGAAAGTGAAAATACAGTAACTTACTGGGGATGGAAGAAAGATTTGGATGCCTAAAAAGTAGAGATAAAATAAGTCTGAATCTCTTAAGTAGAAAGAGAAAAAGGTAGAACATAAGCTTTAAGCACACAGGATTAAGATGAAATTTTAGAAATGAAAGATTGCTAAACAGAGGGCAATTGTGTTCACAAAAGACAGGCGAGCCCTAGACAGAGGCAACATTATTCCTACGAGGAGCACAGCCGCCTGCAACCCAACCCCGCCTGCCACCACCAGCCCCACACACCTTCCTGCCCCCAAAATGGAACACTACTGAAAATCATACTTCTGCCTCAAATGCCGGTCACGCCTTCATTCACCTGCCTGATATCACTATATTTTTAAATTAAGTTTAACTCGAATGTCATCTCGTTCCTGAGCCCACTCACTTTCCCACACTACCACCACCTCTGTGTCCATATTTTACTGTGCCAGTGAGGGCAGCCCATGTCTTACCACTTTGTATCCAAAGAGTTTTGTAGTCCAGAGACTGCAGAATGAATGAATAGGATACTGAGTGACCCATCATTTTAGCACTCTCGGATCCAATAAACCCACTCCTAGGGATGTATCTGGATATGGAGTGCTAATAGTCAAGTCATCTGGACCAGCAGAAGAGTAATTTGTGTTTCCAGGCTAACGATACTGGAAAAGCCTGAAGGAAACCAATGCTGCCATGAGCCTATACTAAGCGAACATTCCAATGCAAAGCTGCAGAGTTGTGACTTGGGTCACCACTGTGGTACACATATGCCTCAGATTTCTCAGGTGCACCTCATATCATAGTCAAAAGCTGAGCGCTTTAATGTTGTGAACTAGATGGCCTACTATGCAGGCAGAGGATCTGGGATACCTCAAGAAGTAAAGAAAAACTGAACCCCAGGATGGATGCCTTCTGAAATTAAAAGTTGGTTCCCCCGGGCGGTAGTTTTAGAAAGTTACCTTTAAATGGCCTGACAGGTAACTGCCAAAGCTGGTACCACACCCGCCTTAGACACTCTGGCTGGGTTCACCAGCCCTGCCTTTCTTCATCTCTTCTCCTCCCTAAATATTTCTCTCAGTTTGAGACCGATATCCCTCAGATAACCAGTCCTTCCTGACTTATCCTAGTCACTTCAACTTAATGCTGTGAGAATTTAGTTCAAGTACCATCTTGGGGTGGGGGAGGGGACGGGTGGCAGCCTCTAGGAGCCAGGCAAGACAAAGTTCTAAAGAGATGGGATATTTCCATGTTCAGTCTCTTTGATACTCACTTGGGAGGGCACAAGACTTCTTCAAGAAATTCTTCAATCTTATTTACATCCGTTTTGACTTCATTGTTGAAAGTTATAAATGGTGGGTGGGTCCCAGGAGCCAAGTTCTGCAAGTCTGCAGGCTTCCTGTTAGGCAAAATAGTGGTCAGAAACATTTTTTGCTTTAACTGAGATGGCAACAATACTCAAAATTTTAAAGAATGTAAAAATAAGGTTTTTTTCCCCACTATATATAAATATAATAGCTACAAGAGTGCTCTAATAAGAAGCAAAATTCCACAAAGAATATCATTTAAATCTCTGATCTTAACCAAAAAAACAAAGACCTTTATTCTTATTCCAAATTTCACTGAATTACTTATTAGAAATGGAGGCAAAATGGGGTGGGGGGAAGAGGGAGGAGCTAGAAGGGGAGTAACGAAGAGGGACAGAGAGTTGGTAAAATCATCTCTGGCCCCAACTCAGTGTGTTAAGATGACACTAATTTCTCCAGGCCTTTATTGGTAAAATAAGGAAGACAATTCCTACAGTGCTTTTCAATTATAAAGTCCCAAGTCCGGATGCTATCTCCTTTCCATTTTCCTACAAGTCCAGGCTTAATAGGGAAGAAAAATCACCAGATATGACCATCTAATACTGAAATTACATCAATATATAAATTTTCATAGCCTAACCAATGGGAAAGTACAAAGCAGAATGGATAAAATATAATGAACAAGGTAAAATATATATCTGATAGGGATCTTGCCCAAACTCAATTAAAAGTCAACAAGAAAACAGGTATGGGCAGAAAGAATGTGATAAGCATTAGATACAATAATTGGACACATGAAACAGTGTCAAAAGCCACGACTACCAAAGAAATTAAAAATTTTAAGATTATTTTCTTGCTATTAGGAAAAATTGAAAATATACAAGACACTGAAAATGATGAGGGAACTGGTATGTTTATCTTTACCAATAACAGGGAATGTTAGTCCTAACCTATTACAAAGCAAAACAGCCCGCTTCAGTGCACTGGTGGATCCTCAACACCCCCCACACATACCTCTGACCAGCACCCCACTCCCCCGTCCTTCTATACCAGAATAAATAAGGTCCTCCCAGGTGGCACAGGGATTACGTCTCAGCACTATCAAGCTATCTATCAGCAGTCACTGCAGCAGGAGTTTGATCCCCAGCCAAATGGCCCACATGGCTCAACGGAACTCTCCTGTCTCGCCTCTGCTCTATCCATCAGCAGTGTGTTTTAGCAGATCCGCCTGTTCTGCTCCCCACTCTGTCTCTGGTGAGTCCTCTGATTCTTTTACTGAGCATTTCCTGGTCTGCCAAGGTCAAGCTGAACACAAAATGATCGGAATACACAAACCTGAAGTCTTCCAGATCCACATTTATTTACTGAAATGGTGAAGTATGCCTTTAGTATGGTTTTAGGTTACTCCTTATTATCATCCCGACAACCTATTCTTTGATTACTAAAAAGTCCAGTGTGTCCAAGACCTTGGTATCCTTAGCCTTCAAGTCACCCACCCATTCTTACTCATAGACTCGAATTGGTTCTTGCTTCAATTTCTTTCCTCCTCAACTCACAAGACCATTTACATAATTAAAAGTGCAGAAACCCTAACAATTTAGGGTTTACATACTTATTTTCAAATCTTAAGATTTTAAAGTTAAAAATGAAAACTAGCACAAACATAAGAAAGAACAGTGTTTCATCAAAGCAAAAGAATACACACATCTCCCATGAGTAATGCTAGTAACCAGCAAGAATGTTCTTTATATACATGTGTGTATACAGATATATGAGAAAATACTTTGTTTCAAAATGAGAATTTTGAGAATTATTTCAAAATGAGAATTATAAAATATATCCATCCACATTTTTATGACTAACAATCAGCCCATAAATGCCTAAATGTAAGGTAATAGTATGTCTGTGTATAAATATTTTATGAACAGAGTAGAGCTGAGTAAAGAAGAAATCGATGCATTAAAGTAATCCATGGGGGAAGGTGGCAAAATAAATAAGCTATTATTTCTATAATAAATTGTGACAGTGGAAGCTCTCCAAACAAAAATATTCATGACAAAGGGCTAAAATTAGCACAAGAGGAGAAAGCATCAAAGAACCTCCTTAAAGTCCCAAAGGAATTGGTCTGTCATGCCCCCAGTAAGGGGACCAAGTAAATCATAGCCTCTTTATTTAAATTTCCTTATCTGTCTTATGAATATAAGAATTGTTTAGTCCTTAAACTATTATATTATTTTAAAAAAAAAAGCTTAATGGGAAAAAAAAAAGAACGCTCAGTCTTTAACGATTATATCAGTAATGTGTGTGAAGTAAGATAAACAGAATATGCAAATGAGAGCCAAGAGCCAGCCTGTGTTTGGCAATCTGATCATCTGATCAACAGAGCCTGAGGAGGTGGAATTGGCAGTCAGTCTTCACTTGAACCTAGTCTGATGGTTCAAAATGATTTTCTAGCCTGAAATGACTGGTACTGGAAACAAATCTGATTAATATAATAATATGTAAGTGAGATGAAGCCAACATACTGGTCACCAAATTCCCATTCATATTAGTGACTGATGAATTCATCCATCTTGTTTCTGCTGAAAGGCTTATATAGGTTTTTAAAACAAACCAAAAAACAACAAAAAAACCCACATGAAACTATTTTCCAAGATTAACTGTTACAATGAAAGACAACTGTTAGGTTCTTAGACCAAGCAGAAGTAGATTTTGAGAATAAAAGTTAATGCCTCCAAGTGTAGACTCCAAATGAATGTACAAGTTGTAAGCACCCAGGTAACTCACTTAAAAGGTATATATGTTGCCAACCAAAGAAAATCTAAGATTCTTCACCTTCTGGTCCACACCCAGCTCTCTAAGGGCTCAGGTATTGTTTGTCCAGAGGCTCACCTTACAGATGTTTCACAGAAACCTAACATGTCAGGATAAATGAAACTGAACGCAGATAACAACTAAAATTTTCAAGGACAATTTTTTGGTTTATTGTATAAAAGACCTTTAATAAATATTAAACAATTCATGCAAATTCATTCAAATGCTTTCCCAAGAGTTAGCTTTTTTAAAAAAGCCAACTGCATAAAACCCATGCCTTGAGAGCACAGATAAATATCCTGCAATGACGTGCAGGTCTTTTTTATTTTTATCTCATCAGGCGACTTATCAGAGTAGATTTTTAATAGCAATCTTCAAAGAATTCTGTTCCCAACCATTTTGTTTCTAGATAAAGAAGAACAAACTAAGACAAGAAACAGACAGAGAAAGAGGACCCTTATAGGAGTTAATACTTGAAGCAAATTAAGTGGCTTAACTTCAATTAAAATTTTATTGGATACACCTGCAACAATTGGAGGACAACAGGTTGGTGGCTTAGTTCCAGCTGCTTGGTATGAGTACAGCACAGCCACAAGACATTGGAGCTGGTACCTGAAGATGACCTATCTAACTAATTGACTCACTAAATGGAGGGGGAAATACTAAGTAGGGAGAACCTATCTTTTAAATTGAGTCCCCTTTTGAAGGTGCTGATTTTTAAGGTATAAAATTCATTCAAATAAAGAGACTATAGAAATATAAGCAAAAAACACAAAGTTAACACCACTCATTTGTTTCAGAACATCTTACTCGTATTATTTCTTCATTACATTTGTTGTATTCTGACAAATATTAAAAGTCACTAAATGGGTGTAAGAATTGGATACCAGAACACACCAAGACCCTAGTTCCAACCACTTGTCTATTTGTCCCAGTTCAGCTAGCTAAAGTGCTGTATTTATTTTTACTAAGTGTGGTATACTGCTATGTTTTGCCTAACGTCAGTTTGTGGAGTAATCATTTTAAAATGAAATAGTGCCCATGAAAAGATTTCAAAACAGCCTCTATAATTCCTAACAGATGTTATTAACAGTGTTTATATTTATAAGAGTGTATACTGTTAACAGGTTTACAAAAGTATTCATCAACAATTGATTTTTCTGATTTAGCTTTTAGTGACCTAACAGCATTTTGTCATCTTTAGAATCATCTTGAAAGAGAACATAAGAATGTGGGAGAGAAATCCTTCGCCTTTCTCATACCCCCCCCCCACACACACAAACTCAGTACACTGATCAAGAATGCATTTGAGAGACACATCGACTGTAAACTGTTCTCACTAAGGTTTCATGTAACAAGTTTGCAAAGGAAAAGAATGGAACTTGTATTTCCTGACTGGCCAGCAGCTGGAAATGGATGAGTTCTCCAAGAGGTTGCTGTCTCATTCCATTTACGCTCACTGAATGTCATTCACACTGCCATTACTAAATGTTTACCCAGAAATTAAATTGATTTCTCAACTTATTGAAAACTGTTTTCAGAAGGGTGGGATCACAGACATGAATAAAGAAAACTGAGATATCTATTTACAAATCAGAGTTTGTTCTGAGTTTATAATGCCTTAGAATGTAAAACTATCAGTTTCATATTTCCATTAACATTTCAAACTATTATAAAACTGTTGAAGTTCAAACTATCACAACAATCTTTGCAAAGATTTATGTCATTGCTATGGCAACCTACACTTGGGACTCACACAACACATTACCAACAGTATGCTGACATTTGAAGTGGAAGGAAACCATTAGTGATAATGCAAAGGATGACATAGCTTCCCTGTTTAAGTGGGAACCAGAGACTGGAAGCGCATTTCTCAAGCTTCTTAAAAGTAGACTCTCAGAGAACAGTATGGACAAGGGATTTTATCCACCAGTAATATAGCAGCTATCACAGCTTTTACAACTGAAAGTGAATTCGCTAAAGTTATGTCTTCTCTCATCTCTCAAAAGCAGAGTATGTACCTATAATGTCTCTCAGTGCCTGCCCTCTCCCTCCTTCCCCCACTCCTCCTTACTGATCTCCTACTTTCCCTTCCCCTGCCTACTTCTCAGACAATCTGTGCTCTAAGGATGCTGACCTCTGACTTAGGAAGTTCTGGGAATAATAAGAATAGTACATTAAGTCTTCAGATAAAGGTCTTGATCACAGCCACAAATCAATCAGCAAAAACGTCCCTATAACACCAGTGTGATAAAATGATGAATTTTAATCAATGACAGGTCTGAAAAAGTTGAGTAAGATTAGTAAAGTACCCTTAACAGTATTTAATGCACATTAAATGCTGGCAAAAGCTTAGGGTTTTTTTTTTTTCCTTCCTTTTCCCTAACTTAAATATGAGGTGAGTGATGCCCAAGCTAAGGCAGCTGGACTAGGGTGCCAGGGGCATGGATGACAGGTAGCACCAGATCCCTGAATATTTCGCCTGTGCCATGCTGCTCCCCACTTGATGACGTGATAACCTCTTTAAATACATCCCAAATTTGGGCCTTCCCTGGTGGCACAACAGGTCAACACACAGCCCTATTTAAACTATAGCAGTCACTACAGCACAAGTTCAATCTCTGGCCAGGGAGGTGACCCGCATGGTGTGGCAGACCTCCCTTGACCTACCTGCTGCTCCCTTCAGCAGTGTGTTTCAGTATCTGCCTATTCTGCTCCCCCCTCTGACTCTGATGAATCCTCTCACCTCACTCCCACACCTCAGGCCTGTACCCCAGTTTGGTATGCACAAATAAATGAATCCTTTAAATAAATACAGCCCAAATTTTAATGTTTCCACTTAACATGAAATTTTTGTTCAAAGAATAGTTGACAGAGCCTAAGTTCCTTCTAAAGCCTGGGCACCTGTATATCTAAAGGTTCTTTAACACAAAGGCAGCAAGAACAGAAAATTAGGTTTAGAAATGAATCCCACACCAACGCATTCAGACTACACTGGCAGCAAAGCTATGGGTGATTTTTCCGGCCTCTCAGGGGCACATAAATACCACAGTATAGTCAACAGCAGCAGCCAAGATTCGAAAAGAATGTGTCACATGGCACCAGAACCATAAACTGTGGCTTGTTCTTATGGATGAAAGATCATGTGACAGTCATTTCTTCAGAGCACAGAGTGGGCTTCTAAACAGCTCTCAGGAGATTTCTATTGCTCTCCACAGGTCTGTTCAGGAAGCAGTTCTTTTCACAGAGGAAAAGGCAATTACCAAGAAAATAAGCATTATAGGCATTTTCTCCCCACAGTTTTCTAAAAATAGTCAGAGCTTTAAAATTAAGATTATGAAAGATACTTTTTACAAGATGTTTTATTCCTCTGTGACAACTCTAATACTTTTTTGGAGTCTATTTTTAGCCTTTTGGGATACCCTTTCTTTGAAATCTTACTAAAAAATACTAAGAATCTAAACTCAGAGAAGTTCTGGAAGGATAAAAAACAGATTAAATGCAGTGATCTCTATGAAGAGGAAGTTGATGGCCAGGGGCAAGTGGTGGAGGGAATCTGTTATGGTAATGTGCTACTGAAAAAGAATACACACACACACACACACACCAATTGTAAGAGCTCTCACTGTTGATTTTAGGCAAAGATTTAGGCAATAAATACTCCTTTGGGTGGTAATATTTTCTAAGTAGAAGGCACTGAATCTTACTTCCCATGTGTTCCTTTTTATGTGCAGGATACATCTCTCTTAAACATATACAAATCCTCAAATGTTAATCAACTTACAGGAACATGCCTGTAAGTTTGTAAATGAAAAGTTTTGAAACAGATGACTCTGAAACAGCCTTATGCATTCACTTCTTTTCTGACCCAGATTCCCATCACTTAGGGCCCTATTACTGGTGTGCACTACAAACAAAAACGCTGTTCAAAAAAGGCCTTTGGAATCATGGCAGTCTACTCACTTTCTCCAAGCCAAAAATGGAAAAGAAGAAATTGGTGTATTTTAAGACACAAGGGTGTGTGCCTGGCAGCATGGTCTATTTTTAGGAATTATATTGGGAAACTTTTTTTTGTGAACACACATAAGGGGAAAAAACAGTAATAGATAGTAAATCTATGATTTCATCGTAGTTTTTGTCCCACATAAACTAGGTGAATCTTCCCCCATAAGCCTACTGTTTCAACTCTTAAACCCAAAGATTTGTGTGTGCATTCACATATATAAGGAAAGGGGTTCTGGGAAGACTTCACGGTGTATTTCCAATAAATACATCTTAAGTCTGTAAAGTCTCAAATAAATGTGGTGGTAAGCAGTCACGTATTTTAAGGAACTGACAAAGGGCCTAGAGTATGCTAGCCTGGAAGTGGGAAGGATGTCAGCTCTCAGACATCACATCCCATGTGATGCCCAGAAGGTCACATGCAGAAATCCTACCATCCATACAGTTATAGCCTGCTAATGCTTTTTCTCAGACGCTGTTCACAACTGATACACTTTAAACAGCCAGCTAAATTGTGGCATTTGTGTTAACAGGCATACTTTTCCACTAACAAATTCTTGTTTTTCTGTTGGTATAACTATTCTTAACTGTTGATTTTTAAAAATCTGTTTTGGAAGTCTGAATGTTCCTCACTTCCTTAGCAGGCTTATCAACTAAGCAAGAGCTCTTCTCAGCCCTCTCCAACTATGGTCTATGAAGAGAAACTTAAAAACAACTCTTCACCTAGCAAGAATGAGCACAAGATTGTGGATAGTTGCTCTTTTTTTTTACAATTATGTTGACCTAGTATGGTTAAAATGGTATTGGGGAAAATTACTATTATTCCCTGAAAAGTAGATTAAATGAAATAGATAACAGCAGTATTCAGTCTTTAAAAATCCAGATTACAAAAAGCCAGAGATTTAGCACATTTGAGATCAAGAGATTTCCTGCTTAGAAAGTTCTTCCTAGCTCCATGTTTAACTAGAAAGTCAAGGATTTCACTACATCCACACTAAGTCAGGATCCTGGTACCGCTTTTGAAATCTAAGTTACTAAAAGATTGAGTGGCCCATGTGATCTATTGACATTATGGGTTATTCATAATATTCATACTAGTTATATTAATCCATGAGTCAGCTGAGGCTTAATACAATGTATTTCCTTTAGAGAACATATGTAATCAAAGTGAGGAATAAGAAAGGAACAAACCAAAAAACAGTGAAGTATATATTCAGCTTAAGTGGATCAACCAAGTCTTACCTCTTTAGGTCAACAGTTGTCACACTAAATACAACTCCTTTAAGCCAAAGAATCATGAAGAGTCTCTGGGAAAAGGGACAGTTTCCTATGCTTTCACCATCGCTGCCAGCCTGGGAAACAAAAAATAGAAATAACAAGATCAGAATTATGATACTCTAAACAAGAGTTTTTTCCTGAATTTTAATCAGGAATATATAAAACAGGAAAAGTTACATTTTAGAAGCTGGAATAAAATTCAGGTCTTTATCATTTTGCTCTTTAAAATGGCCAGGGCCAGTCTAGGGCCCCTCCCTGGTAGCACAACAGGTTAAAGTGCAGCACTGTGAAGCCATATGCAGCCACTGCAGCCTCATGGAGGTGACCCATATGGCATGGCACCTTTCCTGACCCCTCACTGCTCCCCTCAGCAGTGTGTTTCAGTTCACCTGTTTGTTCTGTTACCCGTCTGTCTCTGGTGAATCCTCTCACCCCCCTCACCTCTGGCCTGTACCCCAGTTCTTGTATGTATAAACAAATCTTGGGAAAAAATAAATAAAATGGCTAGTCTAGTATAACACTGCCCAGAGATATTTTTTTTATAACAATAGGAATTATCTGTATTCCCACTGCCCAATGTGGTAAACATTTGTAACATATGGCTAATGAATACTTAAAATGTGGCTAGTTTGAACTTCATTGTAATAGGAAGCTTATTTTAGTAACTGAAATAAAAGGATGGGCTTAACAGCCAAACAGTAGAATGAGAGAACCAGAAGTAGAGCAATAAAAATTATTCGATTACAATTAAACAGCGAAAATATAAACTGAAAATGTAATACTTCTCATATATTGCAATGTTTTTAAGTCATGCATAAAGATCAGTTTTGAGAGTTTCATGGCCACTTCATATATAGAAAAATTTATTCAGTAAAACACTTATACAGGTGTCCAAAGATCCAAGTACAGGGGGAGAATGCGAAAGCATTATTTGCAATAGCAAAACACTGGCGACCACCCAGTACCCAGCCATAAAGAATGTTACTTTACAGACCACCACACCAGAAGATGAAAACTAACCGATGGCCTCTGCTCGATGGGTAGGGTCAGAAATTTTTTCTGTGTTTGAAGTAGCTATTGTCCATACTTTTTCTGTCGAATCTGGGCTACCTATTTCCAGGTTCACAGGGAGCAAGTGGACTTCTCGTTGGAGCTTTTCTGTCCCTAGGCTGCCAGCTTTCGTAGCTCCAACTGGTGACAGATGAAGAATAGAACCAGGAACTTTATCATCATCTACCCCATCTTTGCACAGGCCATTATCTCAGAAATATTAAATTTAAAAAGCAAAATAAAAAATGTACAAAATGTAGTATATGAATGGAATTTAACAATGAAGAGCAAAGAAGTAAAGATATACACAAGATAACTCAGATGAACTTTGAAAAGTCATGCCAAATGAAAGTAGCATCATTTGAAAAATCATGTAGTGATCTCACAGGAGATCACATATATATCACATTTATATGAAATGTCCGAAACAGGAAACCATAGAGATGGAAAGTGCTTTAGTGGTTGCCTAGGGTGGGGACGGGGGACAAAGAAAGGGAATGAAGTTGTTAATGGGTGCAGGGTTTCTTATGAGGGCAATAAAATGTTCTAAAATTAGACTGTGGTGATGGCTGCATACTCACAACCATTTATATACTTTAAATGGATGTATTACATGATACATATGACTATTCTCAATAAAGCTGTTTCTAAAAATATGCAGTCACAGATTACAAGTACAAATACTGCATAAGGTCTTACATTGGAACATGCAGTTTTTTAATTATGGCTTAACATCACACAAGCATACATGTCTACGTTTTTTCTTTATTTAGAAAATTCAAATACTCAAAGCAACGATGTGAATAATCCCACTGGGATGGAAATTACCATGTATTTCCAGATAAAGAGTGAGCCTTAGCATTCACTGCAGTAGTTTTGTTTAACTTGCTCTCTCTGGGGTTCTTCTCACACATTCACCTTCCTCAGCCTCCTCCTCCTGGACCTGTGTTGTAATTCTTGAATTGCCTAACACCCATATTTAATCAAAAACTGCTGGATTAACCCTTACATTGCAGAACAGAGGTCAGTGGTAGATGCCATAAATATCTTAATGTTTTACTAATTGAAGGTAAAGGAACTGCTCACTTAGAAAACCTAGTTAAATCAGTTTTCAGAACAGTCAGATTTTAAGCCACCAGAAAGAGCTTTAAAGTTCATTCTTATCTATTTCTTTGTGTTTATGGGACTAGAGTAAGGGTGATGATGACTACAGAAGTTGGAAACTGAAGGTAAGAATGGGCTCCTGATCATTAAATTATTTTCCTTGACACTTTTTCAAGAGGATATATAGAACATATTGCCAAAAGAATGAATTTAATTCCTCATCTACCTTGGTGTATCTCAATTAACTGCCTGAGCACAAACAATATAGGCAAACTAAAAGTACAAAACCACATGATAAAAGGGCAAAGTCTCCTGACTTGTAGTATCTGTTTCTTCATATTTTGCTCAACACATGCTGGAACCAAGCTCTAGAGTCTAAAGGTATACCAAGCTGCTGTCCTGTCTGCTAGCCTTTTACAGGAGCTGCCGTGTGCATTGGGAATAACAAGGCTTAAAGAGGATGTATCTGGATTTGAACCCTGACTTCACTACTCACTAGCTGTGTGATCTTCGGCAAATTCCTTAACATCTGTGCAACGTGACTTCCTTCACCAATTATTATAGAGATCAAATAATTTAGGGTACACATAGTTCCTAGTACATGGTAAGGGTTGAGTAAATATCTCTTGACTTTAAAGACACTTCATGCACAGAACTCAAGGTCTAACAACAGGTTGTTCAAGTGCTTGGACTTTAGAATCCCAATTATTACTGTATTCTTTCAGAAAATGAGGGGAAAAGAATCTAAGTATCTTCTACATTTTAAGTTCTTCTAACTGACATATAGTGTGGTCTTATGTTTTAAGAAGTACAGTCTATATAAAGTTTAAATAGTCTACTAAATGGAGGGAAGCAACTATACTTTAAAGAGATGTCAAAAATCTCTTTGCCATGCAAAGAATGTATCACTGCTTCCTGGACATAACTATCTTATAAAGCCAATTTTATAAATATAAATAAGGTCAAAGGATATATAATAGAGGAATTACCATATGCCAAGCTCTGCCTATATAAATGAAGCACAGATAATAGGATGACACTGGAAAGACATTAGCCCTTTTTCTGTTCAATATGCCCATTTTGTGAAGTACACCCTACAAAGAAGAGCCAGTGCAACTTAAAGTGCAACTAGTTACCTTGAAATTACAGGAGGATACTCAACTACAGTGCTAAATCAAACTCCAAGCCAGGCTGTTAGAATTCACATGGGACATTTGCCTTAATGAGGATGAACCCTTACAAAGCTGGCTCTGATATACATTAGTCCTGTTAACCCTTTATCTATCTGCTCACTCAACAGAGGATAGTGGGTAAGAGACAGACCCCTCAGACAATCCCACTGCTTAGTGGTTTTGTTTCTTTGGGCCAGATTTCCTCTTCAATAAAATGGGAACAACAACACATTGGGGGAGGGGGAATTGAATGAGTTGATACACCCAAGGGTTTAGGACAACACCCTGCTCTGAAATCAAGGGAAGGGGAGGGATTTGTTCAGTGTATATACCCTTTCATACTTTCTGATATTTGTACTAGGCACATGAATCTTTCATTTAAACTTTTTAAAAAGCAAATATACAAAAACATCCCTACTCCAAATAGATAGTATGAAATTAAGCACAAAGTTATATAATGAGGGAAAGCTCTGAAAATGAAAAACATCTTTGTAACAAAACATGCAAGATCAGGATCCAAGTTTCTGGATACCTGGGACACAAAGAAGTGGGTTTAAAACGCAGGTGACCAGCTCTCACCTCAGATACTCAGAATCAGTGTTTTGTGGTGGGGTCCAGGAATTTGAAATTTTTGACAAGCATTCCAAGCAATTCTAATTCTGATGCATTCGATAAACAGGCAGTATTTTAGTAAACACTGACACAGAGAAAAAAAAAATGCCAAAAAAAAAAAAAGATTGGAAAGAATCTACTATGGTTAAACTTTGAATTCCTCATGATGCCTTTGGACTCTGCTCTTTGTGGGCCAGTAACCTGGTGAGAGTTGGTAAGTAACAGCCTCCTACCAGATTTTAAAGGGACACCACATATATTGCCTCAAATATGGACATATCAAGATTTAAACCAAGCCAGCCTAAAATCCCTTAACCTAGACACTCAAATTCAAGAACACTCTTATTCCACATAGACTAAGAAGCAGAGCTAAGTACCCTTTAGTGTAAAACAGAATGTTTGACTGTAAGAGCTTGGTTTAAGCCTAAATATAATGTTAAGGACAATTAGAGTGACCCAAGTCCTTAATGCTATGGGATGATTAAATCTAATTTAAAAGAGCAATTATAAGTTTTTGTTACTGAACTAAACTGCTAAATGATTTGACTGCTCAGGAATAAGAAAAGATTCTGTTGTGATATTAGAGGGTAGCCTTGATACCTGACTTGCAAAACAGTTTGGGTTTTCCAATTATAAGCTATGTGATTATGGATAAAGCACTTAACATCTTTTGGTCCTGATTTTCTATTCTGGAAAATGGAGGTGGGATAGTGGGAGTTGAAGACTATAATATTGTTAAAGAAGCCACATCCTCTTAGGAATACACACTGAAATTATATTGAAATAAAGGCCACAGTGAATGCAATTTACCAGAGGAAAAGTAAATAATAAAACCAATGCAGTAAAACCTGAGTAAAGGATGTTCTTTGTACTATTCTGATTGCTGACTTGTCTGTAAATTTAAAACTCTTTCCAAATGAAGTTTTTAAAAATTAACTCACTTTCCACTTTCATACTAACAGTTTCTAATTGTAGTTATAACTTACTTTTATTATACCATTCAAAGGCAGGTAAAAATAAAAATCAATGTTTTAGAATTAAAATTATTCTTTATTCATGCATCAGCCACATGAAGACCTAAATACCATAAGATCCAGTGATAAGGACCCTGTGTTTGTATCATTTGTGGTCTGTCA